CCAGATGGGAGGATAGCTGTGCCATAGTTGCTGGGAGCCACAGTAGTATTGGCCATGCACGAAACCACTCACCTAGGTCAAGAGTCACTTGAAAAATTGTTAGGTCGGTACTTCTACATCTCGCACTTGCCAGCCCTTGCCGAAGCAGTAGCACAACAGTGTGTTACTTGCCGACAGTACAATGCGAGGCAACGCCCCAGTGTTCCACCCAGCATACAAGCTTATGGAGCGACTCCTTTTGAGGATCTTCAGGTGGATTTCACAGAAATGCCAAAATGTGGAGGTAACAAGTATTTGCCGGTTCTTGTGTGTACTTACTCTGGGTGGATGGAGGCTTATCCAACACGAACTGAAAAGGCCTATGAGGTAACCCGTGTGCTTCTCTGAGATCTTATTCCTAGGTTTGGACTGCCCTTACGAATCAGCTCAGATAACAGGCCGGCATTTGTGACTGAGTTGGTACAGAAGACAGCAAAAGCATTAGGAATCACTTGGAAGCTACATGCCACCTACCGACCTCAAAGTTCAGGAAAGGTGGAGCAAATGAATCGGACTGTCAAAAATAGTTTAGGGAAAATATGTCAGGAAACAGGATTAAAGTGGATAAAGGCCCTTCTTATAGTATTGTTTAAAATTAGATGCACTCCTTCTAAGAAAATAGGATACTCCCCTTATGAAATACTGTATCATAGTCCTCCTCCTATACTACAGGGGCTTCCAGGCACTCCCCAAGAGTTAGGTGAAATTGAATTACAGCGACAGCTACAGGCTTTAGGAAAAATTGCACAAACAATCTCAACTTGGGTAAATGAGAGATGTCCCATCAGCTTATTCTCCTCAGTTCACCCTTTCTCTCCAGGTGATCGCGTGTGGATCAAGGACTGGAATGTAGCCCCTTTGCAGCCACGGTAGAAAGGACCTTAGACCATCATCCTGACCACCCCACGGCTGTAAAGGTAGAAGGAATCCCAACATGGATCCACCACAGCCGTGTGAAACCTGCAGCCGATGAAACCTGGGAGGCAAAACTGAGCCCAGACAACCCCTGCAAAGTGACTCTGAGGAGGACGACAAGCCCTGCTCCAGTCACACCCAGAAGCTGACTGGTCTACGCATGGCCGAAACATGAGGAGAATCATTGTAGGACTCATTTTCCTTATAATTTGGACTCGTATAGTGAAAACTTCCACTGATTTTCCCCGCGTGGAAGACTGCTCTCAGTGTATACATGAGGTTACCAAGGTAGGACAACTAGTTAAAACAATCTTTCTGTTCTATAGTTACTATGAATGCCTAGGAACTTTAAAAGGAATATGTTTATATAATGACACTCAGTACAACGTATGTATGTTATGACCCCTCTGAGCCTCCCATGTCCACAGTTTTTGAAGTAAGATTAAGGACTGAAGACTGGTAGGGACTCATAAATGATGCAAGTAAAGTATTAGCCAGAACAGAAGAAAAAGGGGTGCCCAAATGATAATCTTGAAATTTGATGCCTGTGCCATTATTAATAGCAATAAGTTAGGAAAGGGATGTGGCTCTTTTAGTTGGGAGAAAGGCTATATGACCAAAAATAGGTACATTTGTCATGAATTAGGACTGTGTGGAAATGAATGTGGATACTAGTCTTGTGTCATTTGGGCCACTTGGATAAAAAATGAAAAGGATCCAGTTCACCTTCAGAAAGGAAAAAATGGCCCTTCCTGTACTAAGGGACAATGTAACCCCTTAGAGCTAGTAATAAACAATCCCCTTGATCCTCGCTGGAAAAAAGGGGAGCGTGTGACCTTAGGAATCGATGGGGCCGGACTATATCTTGGTTTGAGGAGAAGTTTACAAATGCTCTCCGGAACCAGTGTTTCAAACTTTCTATGATGAACTAAATGTACCAGTACCAGAAATTCCAGGAAAAACAAGAAATGTGTTTTTGCAATTAGCCAAGCATGTAGCCCAGTCTCTCAATATCACTTCATGTTATATATATGGAGGAACTGTAATGGGAGATCAATGGCCATGGGAAGCTCGAGAATTAGTACCTACAGACCCAGTTCCTGATGAATTCCAGCTCAAAAGAATCAACCTGATAATTTCTGGGTCCTAAAAGCCTCAATTATTGGACAATATTGCATAGCTAGAGAAGAAAAAGAATTCACTCACCCCGTAGGACGACTTAGTTGTCTGAGACAGAAACTGTATAATGGTACCACAAAAACAGTCACTTGGTGGAGTTCAAATCAAACAGAGAGGAATCCATTTAGCAAATTTCCAAAGTTGCAAACTGTGTGGACCCACCTGGAGTCCCACCGGGACTGGACAGCACCCACTGGATTATACTGGATATGTAGGCATAGAGCTTATGCCAGATTACTTGACTACTGGGCAGGTAGTTGTGTTATTGGCACTATTAAACCATCTTTCTTCCTACTGCCCATAAAAACAGGTGAACTCCTGGGCTTCCCTGTCTATGCGTCCCGTGAAAAGAGAAGCATAGCTATAGGAAAGTGGAAAGATGGTGAATAGCTCCCTGAGAGAATCATACAATATTATGGCCCTGCTACTTGGGCACAAGACAGCTCGTGGGGATACCGGACCCCCATTTATATGATCAACCAAATCATATGGTTACAAGTTGTCTTACAAGTAATCACTAATAAAACTGGCAAAGCCTTCACTGTTCTGGCCCTGCAAGAAACTCAGATGAGAAATGCTACCTATCAAAATAGATTGGCTCTCAGCTACTTGCTAGCAGCTGAAGGAAGGGTCTGTGGGAAATTTAACCTTATTAATTGTTGTCTACAAATAGATGATCAAGGGCAAGTAGTTGAAGACATAGTTAGAGATATGACAAAACTGGCACATGTGCCCATGCAAGTGTGGCATGGATTTGATCCTGGGGACATGTTTGGAAAATGGTTCCCAGCACTAGGAGGATTTAAAACTCTTTTAATAGGAGTTATAATAATAATAGGAACCTACCTACTGCTCCCTTGTTTGATACCTGCACTTCTTCAAATGATAAAAAGCTTCATCACTACCTTAGTTCACCAAAATGCTTCAGCACAAGTATACTATATGAATCACTATCGATCTGTCTTGCAAGAAGACATGGGTAGTGAAAATGAAAGTGACAACTCCCACTAATAAAATGAGTGAGAGTCTCAAAAGGGGGAAATATGGGAGGAGACCACCCCTCATATTGTCTTATGCCCAATTTCTGCCTCCAAAGAAAAAAGAGGTAAAAACTAAAAGGCAGAAATGAAATCCACAGGCAGATGGCCTGGTGCCACACCCTGGGCCTGGTAGTTAAAGATCAACCCCTGACCTAATAAGTTATATTTTCAATAGATTACAGACATTGTATAGAAATGCACTGTGAAAATCCCTATCTTGTTTTGTTCCGATCTAATTACTGGTGCATGCAGCCCCCAGTCATGTACCCACTGCTTGCTCAATCGATCATGACCCTCTCACACATACCCCCTTAGAGTTGTGACCCTTAAAAGGGACAGGAATTGCTCACTCCGGGAGCTCAACACTTGAGACAGGAATCTTGCCAATGCCCCCAGCCAAATAAACCCCTTCCTTCTTTAACTCAGTGTCTGAGGAGTTTTGTTTGCAGCTCATCCTGCTACAATACCAGCCCCTGTTCCGGTGGAGGTGGTGGAGGGTGAAATGGACTCCATGAGGATCCTTGGCTTTGGTGATTTAATGCTCTATTTTTGTGCTTGTTGGTCTCCTGCGAGGAGGTGGCACTTTCCAGAAAGCATCAGTGGGAGAGGGAGTGATGGTGGGCAGCGTCCTAGAACTCCCAAGATTAAATGCCCTTTGTCTTCTGCTACCAGGGTGGATAGAGAAGGACCATCAGGTTGGGGCGGGGCTAGGAGTGTCTGAGCTTAGACTATCCATGGGTGGGTCTTGCTGTGGCTGCTGTGGAGGGTGGGAGAGAGATTTCCAGGTCACTGGAGTTGTGTACCTAGGAGGATTATGGCTGCCTCTGCTGAGTCATGCAGGTTGTCAGGGGAGTGGAGGAAGCTGGCAGTCACAGGCCTCACCCAGCTCTGATGCAAACTGGAAGGCTGGTCTCACTCCCACTTCCTCCACACCCACCAACAGCCCTGAGTCTGTTTCCAGGCAGAGGGCAAGGGGGCTTGAAAATTTGCCTGAGGCTTTCCATCTCCCAGCTGAGAAAGAAAAGGACTTTCGTTCTTCACCCTCCTGTGAAGTTTGCATGCTGGATTTGTGACTTCCCTGAGTTCTGGCAAGAGGCTCCTCTGGCTGACCTCCTGATAGATCCCCATGGTGTCAGGCAGGAATGGGCTGCTGGGGACCAGCAAGCTCCCAGGGCCTTCCAGCTGCTTCCTCTACCCCTGTATTTTGCTTGGCTCTCTAACTTGACTCAGCTTCAGCTAAAGTCGGAAACTTCTCCTGCACACAGACCTTCAGCTTCTCCAGTGGGGGTGTGTGTTCCAGAGAGGAGAGTCTCCTTTTCCCACTTCTGCAGTTGGGGCAGTCAGAATATTTGGAGTGTTTCCTGGGTCCTGCAGGAGCAGTCGGCTTCCTTCAGAGGGTCTGTGGGTCCTCTCGGGATTCATCATGTAATATTTTGAAACACTACATAATTATTTAAGATTCTAACATATACAATCTAATCCTTATGATTCTTATAAATGTATGTAAAATAAGGCAGGTATATAATGAAACTTTGACCAATGTTTCTATAAAGCAAAAGTCTGCAAACTATAGCTTGTGTGTGCCACTTGTTTTTGAAAATTAAGTGTTATTGGTACATAGCCCCACCCATTTACTTATGTATTGTCTATGGCTGCATTTGTACTATATGCAGAGTTTAGTAGTTGAGACAGTTGACCTGCAAAACCATAAATAATCACCATCTGGCATTTTACAGAAAAGTTAGCCAACCACTGCTATAAAGACTCAAACCTTATTTTTTGGTGAAAAACTAAAAAAAAAAAAAAAAGGAAATAAACTAGTGAAACTTATTTTATTTCTAGGTTAGTTTATTTCTAGTTCAAAAATAAACTGTAATTGCTGTAAGAAATGTCAACCACTTACCTAGGACTTTTGATAATGGGGATGAAGTCTACATATACTAAGTAATAACAAGATAATTATTTTATTGTTCAAAAAAAAGTCAAAAAAATTCCATATTCCTTTTGGGGAAAATTGGCAGGATTTCAAGTATGACCTTTAAGAATTAGGAAAAGACTAGCCTATGCTTTAGGATTAAAACAATCAAATAATTAAGTTAGTTCAATTTTCTGACATATTCTCTATCATCAAAGTGCATCATTGCAAGTTATACATCACTAAAATTACACAGTGAATAATTATTATGATGTGATTATTTAATTCAGTGTCAACTGTCTAAAGGTCTAAAGTGTCACATTAACGTTATAATCTAGATGAACTGAAGAAGAAAGAAAATATTTCTTCATTAGCCCATTTGTTTATGATTCAATTCCTACTCAATGCTAATGATTTCTTCTACCTTCCTATGGAAAATATAAGATTCTAGATTTTTGTATAAGGTGGTTTGCTTTAGCTTGAGATCTGTCAGTGAGAATTATCCCTGGGCAATGTCCAGAAATCACATTATTGCTCATAGACCTTGTAGCCTTGATATAATGGAGAACTGTACACTGTCTTCCCTAGTAAGCTCGGATGGTTGTTTCTGATATTGGGACCCATTGTACACTTAGCCAAACCAGTGCCCAAATATGTCCCAAGATTTTTACCTAAGACTTTCCTCAGTATCCACTGGTCATCTGGAAGAATAAACTTCTGAATGGCAGCAACTCATGACCCCTCCTCTGTTGGTACGGAGGTAAATGCAATCTTTGTTGCACAACTTACAATCTTTTTAAGGAAAAAACATAGTTTTGATAATTGAACTGCATGTTCTTGTAAACTTTTAGTGTTATGATGCAAGATCTAATTATTATCAAATATAGTGACACTTGTCCCAAATTCTAAAATTGTTTCAGTTATGCCTTGAGTCAGGGTGACAGAAAAGCTCTGTTGTTTAGATCTTTAACTTACGGGACATATATCTCTTGTTTTTTTTTCCCAGGGTCTTCTGTAGCTTTTGTATCTCATTTTGAAGTTGGGTACTTTCACCTTGGCATCTCTCCTTCAGTAGTCGGGCCTGTTCCTAAAAAGGGACAAATGGAGACTAAATAAGTGTAGCATTAAGTAAATCTCTATAAGCTATCTAGTTTCCACATGCATTCCTGGGTTTTCTATAGCCAAAAGAGTTCTTGCTTTTTTCCCCCTATTACAAAACCTTTGTGGTCAATCTTAATATATTTGACTTCAAGTCTTCCCTATGCATTATAGACTTTTTAAAACACCTACCTACATACATATTATTATATATACACATAATACAGAAATAAGGTACTCTCAAAATCTGATGAGGTTTATGAATCTTAGATCAGGAAATTTGGTCTAAGTCTCTACTCCCTGTTGGCAGGGGTAGCAGAAGATAGGCAAGGAAATCCAAGTGCCAGACTTAACATATATAATTTCTGCACATAGCTCCCAACTCAACACAAGCTGTGAGTAGGGCACAGAAAACAGACAGGAGTGGTAGACTGCCCTACAGGTGTGAGGGTTAGGGAGTCCTTCTGCTCATAAAAGTTATCTTAGAGCCAAAGTCATACTAGATGGGATAGAAAAAATATTACTGTGGATTCCATGAAGTGATGAAGATGGGTCAGATATTTACTAGCTGTGTGACACTATAAAAGTTATTTAATATTTTCTGAACCTCTGTTTCCTCTCCTAAGTAATTGGGATGAAGTTCTCACTTCGTATGGTATTAAGCAAGAGATATAGATAAGGCATTTTTATGATGCCTAGTATATGAGAGTCATAAGTGGAAGGATATACTAAAAAAGGACTGAATGTGACATGCTGCAAATAAAGTTTTAGTGACCACATGTAGGCAGTGGCCACTTCAAGTCAGATAGACAGAAACAAGAAGGTACAAGTGAGCAAGCAGAATCCTTCCCCTGGGCTTTATGTTCTCTCTGCCATACTAAGTTTGTGATCAGGAAGAACAGACAGAAAACAGAAAAACAAACAACAAGGTGATGCATTTGGATACCTGAAGTTTACTAGTGAGGGTCTTCTCTTGCTCTTCCAGCAACTGGGCCCTCTCCCTCTCTATCTTCTCAGTCAATTGTTTCACATGTTCCTGATAACTCTTCTCTTTCTCTTCCATCATCTGCTGATACTTTATTTGCATTTCCTCCACCATTTTTGCTGAAGCCTGTGCAGATTCAGCTTTTGCATGTTCCACTGTGGAGGAAAAGGAAGAAAAAAAGTTTGTGTGGGGTTATCTTATTACCTCATTCTTTGTTATAAACTTACTTGCCATTGTTGCTGCTGACTGCATATGACCTACTCAGAGATGACCTCAATAAGTAAGACACGTCTTGCTTTAGTTTATGGAAGTTAGGTTTATCCAGTCAAATTATTTAAAATTTGAAAAGCTTTAGGATAAGCTGATCCTTTGACTTGCTCCTCACCTTCAATCTCCTTTTCCTTTTTTGTGAGAATCTTGTCTGTCTGTAGAATTGCATCAGTCACAGACTCCTTGGATTTCAAGTATGTCTGCAGAATCTCTTCAGCCTTAGGACCCAGAGAACACAGAGTGAGAAGTAGGAAATGGCTGTAAGCAGGTGTTCCTGTTCGTCTGTCAACCATCTTTTCTTCTGAGAATTCTTCCTCTTGGTGTGCCTGGTAGTCAAGATTCTCTATCACAGGGCCAGATACATGCTCCAAGCTGGCCAATCAGATGACCTTACTTAGCAGAATCTTATTTAGGAGGATGATATAGATACTGGGAAATAAGATTCCCTGTTCTTTTCAAATTGAGGGCTCTAAATTTAATGCTGTGGTTCCAAATGGGCTGAGCTGACTGGAGAATGAAGCCCTCCTTGAGAGAGCAAGTCAGAGTGATTCAGATAGAGGGAGGAAGAGAGGGAGGGAATTGTGGGGAATGCAGGGAGGACATCAGGCAGACAGACAGATCATGACATTATTTGAAATCTTGGATCCAGATGTCCTTTAAATCCAGTTTGAAACCTAAAACGATGAATTACCAATTTTTTTTTAAGCAACCATCATTGGGTTTTTGTCTCTTGGAACAGAAAAAAATTCAGCTGTAATGATCATGACAACAACTTGGTGGTTAATCTGATAATTGAATTTATAACTCAATAGTTAATTGACTACACTCTCTAATTAATTAACTACCTTTTTTTTTTTTTGAGACAGAATCTTGCTCTGTTGCCAGGCTGGAGTGCAGTGGCACGATCTCAGCTCACTGCAACCTCCGCCTCCTGGGTTCAAGTGATTCTCCTGCCTCAGCCTCCCAAGTAGCTGGAATTACAAGCACCCGCCACCACACTCAGCTAATTTTTGTATTTTTAGTAGAGATGGGGTTTCACCATGTTGGGCAGGATGGTCTTGATCTCTTGACCTCATAATCTGCCTGCCTCGGCCTCTCAAAGTGCTGGGATTACAGGCATGAGTCACTGTGCCCGGCCTAATTAACTAATTTTTGAAAGAAAGAGTCTGGCTCTGTTGCCCAGGCTAGAGTGCTATGGTGCAGTCTTGGTTCACTGAACCTCCCGGGCCCAAGCAATTCTCCTGCCTCAACCTTCTGAGTACCTGGGACTACAGGCATGTGCCACAGTGCCCGGCTAATTTTTATATTCTTACGAGAGACAGGTTTCGCCATGTTGCTCAGGCTGGTCTTAAACTCCTGAGCTCAAGCAATCTGCCTGCCTCTGCCTCCCAAAGTGTTAGGATTACAGGCTTGAGCCACCGCATCCGCTGACTGCACTTCCTTTGATGAGCACCTGGGACATATCTGGTGTAACACTCTCCCTGCATATGTTATTGAATGAAAGCATGAATGTTATACAGACAAAAAAGCACACCTGTGTGCAACGAGACTTGGTCACCTTAGTGTTTGTAGGAGGCAGGTCAGCAGATTTCCATAATTGACAGATGAATCTTGGTTACCTGTATCCCCTTCCTTGGTTCCTCATGGTACTTTTTCTTCAGGTCTTGTAGCTTCTGAATAAAGAGACAATAGCCGCCTGGTTTCGAATAAATTCCCATCTTCACTTCCTCTTCTAGAGGGCTGAAAATGTCCTGAAGTAAAGCTGAACAACGATCTGATGATGCTTCCTGATTCTGTTTACAAAAGTCATCCCGCTTTTTTACTAGCTGGACCTTTAATGTAAAAGCACGAAGTAAAAAGAATAACAGGGAAAGGATGTGAGCTTGACCTCAGAATTTTGGGAAAGACTTCTGAAAATAAAAAGTCAATGACTCTGGAGAAACTGACAGACTCCTCAGCAGGAGCACCCTCTTCCTCCTGACCCCACTTTCTACTGAAGTCGCTTTCTTTTTGGAGGTGAGATTCAGGGCTGAGATTGATAGCTTTATGTCAACTGTTAGAGGAAAACTCTGCTTTTGCATATTGGACTAATGATTTCATATGGAATAAATGTGGTTGAACAGAACCCTGCTCAAGATAACTAAGAAGAAAATTTTCTTTGCATTTGGCTAGAATATCAAATCAGTCTGAGAAGAGTGGGCATGTAATTTGATTAGAAGCTCTGATTGTCAGTTACATGAATTTAATAAAGGGAAGACCCTTTATTGATAAGCAATGTTTTTAAACTTTGAGTCTGAAGTAATAAAATTGGTTCTTTCTGATGATTACGATTACCAAGAGCTAGTTGTCACCATTTTAAAATCTAGAATAATTATTTCTCTCAAAATAAATACCAATTTCATTTCTTAGTAGTATTTTACCTTCCAAAATCCAAATTCATGTAAACGTGACAGAAAAATTACCGCTAATTTCTTTTGAAACAGATGGTCCACATCCTTGAAAGAGTTCTTCATAAATACTTCAGTGGCCTCCCTCTCACTGTCCCTGTGCAGGTCTAGCAGCTCCTGGAGGGTTTCCGTGGGCAGCTGCACCTTCTGGCCCATCTGCTGGTCATAGTGAGCAATGGCTTTTTGCACTGCAACTGAGTTCTCTATCTGAGCCAAGGCCAGGATTGCGTTCTCCATGCAGGGCAGATCCCCACTGCTGATAGCATCAATATAGGTCAGCACCAGGCTTTCTAGACCTACATATAGAGAACAAACGATAATGTTTCTTGTACTAAAGAAAATTCTGTATTCTGTGTAATTCTGAACATGTCAATTTCCACCTATTTTCCTCACAGCATCAAGGTCCTCAGAATCAACTGGAAGCTTGCTGGAAATGCCTATTGTCAGTCTCTGTCCCAGATCTACTGAATTAGACTTTTCTCTTTGGGTAAGATCCCCAGATGATATGTATGCATACTGACATTTGAGAATCCTTGTTCTAAATGACATAGGCCTGTGTTAGTTGAATGTTTGCATCCATTTCAGCCCCAAGCACCATCAGAAAAGGAACCCATAGCTATTTCATTTATGACTGTATCCTCAGCCTATTCACAGTAGCATTTGATCAATACTTGTGGAACAAATGATACTCTCCTAGTCAAAAGGAGTCCTCCATTTGGTTTATTTTAGCACAGCATTGTCAAAGTAAACTTTCTGTAATGATAGAAGTGTTCTGTATGTGCTGTTCAGTAAGCTAGCCACTGAGAACATGTAAATATAAGCCCCTGAAATATAGCCATGTGAATTGACATTAATTTTTCCTTATATTAATTGATTTATATTTACATTTAGATAGTCCCACTTGTCTAATGGCTACTGTACAGTACAGGCCCAGTTTACTGTGGCAATTTTAAGTAATAAAACTTTTTTCCTTTGCTTTTCCTATCCTATCCCACCAAGAAAGTTGACCAACAAAATCTATTAGAAATGTTGGTGTCATCTAGAGTTTAACACAAATGTAGCAGTAGATTGGGATTTTTCAATGCTAAAACTAGGTGGAGTTATTCCATGCTCCTTTCATATTTTTTTTTTCCTCTGTCACCCATGCTGGAGTGCAGTGGCGTGATCTCATCTCACTGCAACCTCTGCCTCCCAGGTTCAAGCAATTCTCCTGCCTCAGCCTCCCAAGTAGCTGGGATTACAGGCATGTGCCACCATGCCTGTCTAATTTCTTTTGTATGTTTAGTAGAAACATGGTTTTGCCATGTGGGCTAGGTTGGTCTCAAACTCCTGGCCTCAAGTGATCTGCCCTCCTCGGCCTCCCATAGTGCTGAGATTACAGGTGTGAGCCATCATGCCTGGCCATCCTTTAGTTTTAACAATGAGCAGAAGTACTAGGAAGGGGACTTACGAGGCCCGTTGACCTTGATGCCTCCTGAAAGAGTTTTAGTTTTGGAATTGCTAAAGATGTAGGAACAAAAGTCTGCTACTTGTTGCACAAATTCGGGGTCCAGCTCTTCATCATGTAGTTTCTCGAGCTGGGCAAGCTTCTTGCAGTGAACGGGGCGATCAAAGACAAAGCATTTCTTCTTTGGGAAGAACTTCCGGATACAGAGTCGGGGCAGATTAAAATTTTTATCTTTTTCACTGGTACCTAGAAAAACATAATAAAGAAATTTGCCTAATGTAAGTGTTTCTATAAAGGGTCAAATAGTAAGTATTTTAGGCTCTGCAGGCTAGGTGGTCTCTTTTCCAAGTACTCAACTCTGTTATTGGAGCATGACAACAGCTTTAGACAATATGTAAATGAATGGGCAGAGCATTCTTCCCAAAAAACCTCATTTAGAAAGACAGCTGGCAGGCAGCATTGGCCATCATTTGTCTTAGGCTGCAGTTTGCCAACATTTGGACTAGTACACTGTTCATGTTTAATCTATGTTCTTTAAATAAATATCCATTGCCTTCATATTTTATGGGTAAATACAGAATCACGAACCCTACATAAGGAGATAAAATTTACCTAAATTATACAATAGGGGAAAATGAAAGAAAAAGAAACTTATTTTAGAACACAGGAGAATATAATTTAAAATCTAGTCTATTAATTTAGATATTCAGCAAGCATTCATTCCTTTTTTCCTTTTTTCAAAAAACCTTTTTGATTGCTAATAGCAAGCATTAATTCTTAAGAATAGCAAGCTAGAGATATAGAAAACTATAAATGTGAGAAAACTATCAATAGTAAACTAAAAAATGATAATTTCCAGTGTTTTGTCATCCTCATTTATCAATGGTACGTCCCTGTTACCTTGTGTTAGCTTCAGGGAATACTCCAGGTACCCATCTGCTGTGAGGGGTTGTCCATCTGCTTCTAAGTCCAGGGAGAAATCTCTCAGTGTCCACACAAAGTCTGGGAAGAAGCTCACAAAGTCAGCTGAATCCTCATTCTCATTCTCATCAGGTGAAGATTTTGATCGGATTCGATGTGTCAGCTCTGTCACATAGCTGAGTAGCTAACTAAGGAAATGTGACAAAATGAACAGGGACCTCATCCCATATTAAGTTCAACACATTCCCAAACCTTCCATTTTCCTTTGCTCCTAAGTGTCATTTCTAAAGTGGATACATGGGATCGCTCCTCGTACTTGCATTATTTTTTGTTTTCTCCTCTTGAGCTTGATTCATGAAGATTCACAGTTAGGCAGCTGGTTTATGACTACAGGTGTCCCCTCTGACCTTGGTGCTGTTCTGGGTCACAAAGGATACTGCAGTTGGTCCATGGCCTGCTGGTTGATGGTTCCCATGCTATTGTACACGAAGGTGCTGCTCAGGAGGATGGCCAGGGCGAAGATCCAGGAGTCATTTTGGTTGTCACCCTGGAAGTCAAGACACACTGGAGTCAGGAGCAAGTTTCATCGTCACAGCACTTTCCAGAGTAACAGTAGTATAAGTATATCATAAGTTAGAGTTTTCTTTTAAGACTAATGACCCAGGAAAAGAACCCAAATCCAAACAAAATAATTGTTACTCAGTTGATTCTCACTAGGTCCTCTTATGATCATTGGCAGATAATTGCAAAATAAACATTCAAGGTTGGTGGGCATTCTAAGGCCTGAAGTATAATTTAAATTTGCTTAGGCTACTGAATTATAAGTTCTCTGCAGGATAGGACTCAAGACATTGGATTTATTTGTGCTCTCTTCATGCATCTGTGTTAACTCACATAGCTTACAACCTACAGTTAGTAGAATACTGTGTGTTGACCAACATGCTCTTCTAGGATTCTGTCTTATGAACTTTTTTTTTGCTAAGTTTGGCCTTATGACATGTACACAGAAATGAAAAGACAAATTATAGTTAAATGCAAATACTTCTTTAAGAAAAAACTAAATGGTGCTTAAAATATTCAGAGAGGAGAGGCTTATTCCAAAATTGAATCTTTGACCCTTACCTTCTTTACATCTCCCAGGCCCTCAGTGTCAAGCAGGACTAGGGTGTGTTCTGGCTTCTTGGGGTGAGGCACACACCACATCCAGATTCCTTTGGTGTGAGATTCCACTGTGGAGCCCAGAGAGAAGCCTGTAAAGAAGAGATGGAATAAGAAGGGCTGGAGGTTTAATAGCAGGTACTTCTGGAAATTGAGGCAAATGTAGCATCATAATTAATGTTAAGAGAGATAACCAAAACCACAATCCGTACTTACCTTACTTATAATCAGAAAAATAGAAAAATTTGAATATCCAGTATATAAATGGATTCAGGACCTTTCATTATAAAAATAATCAACAAGTTAGAAATAGAAAAAAACTGAGGCAGGAGAATCACTTGAACCCAGGAGGTGGAGGTTGCAGTGAGCCGAGATAGCACCACTACACTCCAGCGTGGGCAACAGAGCAAGACTCTGTCTTTAAAAAAAAAAAAAAGAAGAAGAAGGGTAGGGAAATAGAAAAAAAATTACCTCAACAATATAAAAATATAAAGGACATATATGAAAAATTCATAGCCCACTTCATACTCAATGGTGAAGACTGAAAATTTTCCTCTAATATGGGAACAAGGAAAGGATGCCCACTTTTGCCACTTCTTTTCCACAAAGTACTAAAGGTCCTATCCAGCCATTAATGTAGGTGAGAAAAGGAAAGCAGAAACATCTAAATTGGAAAGGAAGATGTAAAATAATCTGTATTCATTGATGATATGATCTCTGTAGAAAACGTTAAATATTACACAGAACTGTTAGAACTAATAAAAAGAATTCAGCAAAGTTGCAGCATACAAAATTAACATGTAGAAATCAGCTGCATTTCTATACAGTAGCAATGAACAATCCAAAAAGGAAATTCTGAAAGCAATCCCATTAAACATACCACCAAAAGGGCAAACTACTTAAGAATAAAATTGACCGGGCACAGTGGCTCATGCTTGTAATCCCAGCACTTTGGGAGGCCGAGGTGGGTGGATCACAAGGTCAGGAGATCGAAACCATCTGGCCAACATGGTGAAACCCTATCTCTACTAAAAATACAAAAAAAAGTTAGCTGGGTGTGGTGGTGGGCGCCTGTAATCCCACCTACTCGGGTGCCTGAGGCATGAGAATTGCCTGAACCCAGGAGGCGGAGGTTGCAGTGAGCTGAGATTGCTCCACTGCACTCCAGCCTGGCGACAGAGTGAGACTTTGTCACAAAACAAACAAACAAACAAACCCAAAAAACTTAACCATAGAGGGCAATGACTTGTATAATGAAAATTACAAAACTCTTTTTTTTTTTTTTTGATACAGAGTGTCACTGTGTCATCCAGGCTGGACTGTGATCACTGCTCACTGTAGCCTTGACCTCCAAGGCTCAAGCAATCTTGCCACCTCAGCCTCCCGAGTAGCTGAGACTACAGGCATGTGCCACTAGGCCTGTCTAATTTTTGTATATTTTGTAGAGATGGGGTTTCATCGTGTTGTCCAGGTTGGTCTCAAATTCTTGAGCTCAAGTGATCTGCTGGTCTCAGCCTCCCAAAGTGCTGGGATTACAGGTGTGAACCACTGCACTTGGCCAAACATTCTTAAAAGAAATTAAGCAAGAGATAAATAATTAGAAAGACATCCTGTAAAAGTGACATACAGATTCAATGCAATCCCTATCAAAATTCCAATGACTTTTTTAATAAATAAAAATATAAAAAATATCCACACTAACTTTCATATGAAATTTCAAGAGTTCTCCAAATTGTCAAAATAATCTCAAAAAGAAAGAAGAAAGTCAGAGGCTCACAGTTTCTGAGTTCTGAAACTTACTGTAAAACCAGGATAATCAGCACAGTTTGGTATTGGCTTAAACACTATTATCAACCAATGGAGTAGAGAACCTAGAAATGAACTCTCATATCTATAGTCAAATAATTTTCAACATGGGTGCTAAGATCATTCAATGCAGAAAGAGGAGTCTCTACAACAAATGACATTGGGAAAACAGTATTCACATGCTCACATGCCAAAAAAAAAAAAAAAAAAAAAAGTTGGACTGTTAGCTTACACAATCCAAAAAGTAACTCAAAATGGATCAAAGAACTAACCATTAGAGCTAAAACTATAAAACTTATGGGAGAAAACAAATGGGAAAAAACAGACAGTGAAAGGAAAAAACAGATAACTTTGACTTCATCAAAATTAAAAACTCCTGTGTATCAAATGACACTATCAACAGCATAAAAAAGGCAACACATGGAATGGAAGAAAACATTTGCTAAACATGTATCTGAAGGAATTGATATCTAGCAAATATAAAGAATTCCTACAATGCAACACAAATAGATTAAAAAGTAAACAAAGAACTTGAATTGACATTTCTCTAAAGAACGGCCAATAAGCACCTGAAAAGATGTTCAACATTACTAGTTGTTAGGGAAATGCAAATTAAAACCATAGTGAGATACTACTTCACATCCATTAGTATGGTGACTATCAAAAAAATTGAAAAGGGCCAGGCGCAGTGGCTCAAGCCTGAAATCCCAGCACTTTGGGAGACCGAGGCAGGTGGATTACCTGAGGTCAGGAGTTTGAGACTGGCCTGGCAAACATGGAGAAACCCCATTTCTACTAAAAATACAAAACTGAACCATGCATGGCAGCAGGCACCTGTAATCTCTACTACTTGGGAGACTGAGGCAGGAGAATCGCTTGAACCCAGGAGGTGGAGGTTGCTGTGAGCTGGGATCTTGCCACTGTACTCCAGCCTGGGTGACAGAGTGAGACTGTGTCTCAAAAAAAAAAAAAAAAAATTAAAATAACTGTAGGGAGACCCCCTGAAACTATTGCTACCGAATAAAAGATGAAATGCTCCTGATCATTGTAAATACAAAATTGCATGCAGGATTGTGTAAAGGCAATGCCAGGTTGGACTGCCAGAATGAGCCAACAGCACGTGATGTGCTTCCCTCTGCAGAGAGCCTATGAATGGACGTGCAGTCAGGGAGGTTTCACATCACCAAGATTCCTATCCCAGAAAAGCAGATGTTCATAGCTCTGGGAATGGAATGTGACCCTTGTGGTGAACCTATAAATGGATGCATGAGGGGCGCCTGTCCATATGGATAAGATGGGGCTATAAACGCCCTCATCTTGCCACGGCTCTTCTGGGCCTCTTTAGGGTTAAGGCATACTCCCTTCTGAGAATTTCTGGTCTAACGAGTTGTCTAGCTTCACATCTTGTTTCTATGGATTGTTTGTAACCAGCTTTTGCTGCAACTGTTACTGCTGATTATTATCTTACTAATGGAAGATATGGAAAGACTGTGTTTTGTTTTAAGGCTCTGTTAGAAATTACTGATGTGCGCACTATATTGTAAATTCTTATCTCTGTATATTGTACTTCTGCATACAGATGTTATGTTAAAGAAAAAATCACATCCCCATGTGACCATCTCACCTCATAATCAAATGGCCCTAAATCCCTCACTAACCTACCCCCGCCCTCACTAAACTTAATGATAAATGCTGGCGTATCCAGTGCATTGGCGGCATCCCAGGACCAGAAGGTGGTAACCCCTCTGGACCCAGCTTTCACTATCTTGTGTGTGTTTATTATTTCTCAACCTGCCGATCCACCTGGGAACAAAGAGAGAGCCCCATTGCATTGCAGGCTGTTGACCAGATCCCACAATAAAAAACAAATGTTGGTGAATTTGAAGAGAAATTAGAACCCTTGTGCATTTCGGTTGGGAATGCTAAATGGTGCAGTCACTGTGGAAAATGATATAGCAATTCCTTAAAAAATTTAACGTGGAATGACTATATGAGCCAGCAATTCCACTTCTGGGTGTATACCTAAAAGGAGTGAAAGCAGGGACTTGAACAGATATTTAGACACCCATGATCCTATCAGCATTATTTATAATAGCCAAAAGGTGGAAGCAACCCAAGTGTCAACTGACAGGTGAACAGATAAATTAGTATACACATACAGTTACTTAGCCTTGAAAACGAAGAATTTTTTCTCTCTTTCTTTATTTTTGAGACAGAATTTCACTCTATGCCCAGGCTGGAGTGCAAAGGCACAATCTTGGCTCACCACAACCTCTGTCTCCCAGATTCAAGTGATTCTCCTGCCCCAGCCTCCCAAGTAGCTGGGATTATAGGCATGTGCCACCATGCCCAGCTAATTTTGTATTTTTAGTAGAGATAGGGTTTCTCCACATTGGTCAGGCTGGTCTTGAACTCCCAACTTCAGGTGATCTGCCTGCATTGGCCTCCCAAAGTGCTGGGATTACAGGTGTAAGTGCCTGGCCAAAAAGGAAGAATTTTGACACATGCTACCACACTGAACCTTGAAGACATTATGTAAATTAGAATAAGCCCGTCACCAAAGGACAAATATTGAATGAATTCCACTTATATAACATTCCTAGAGTAGTCAAATTAATAGAGATGGAATGTAGAATTGTGGTAGGAGATGGGGGTTTTGGGGCCTTTTGTTTAATTGGCACAGAGTTTCTCTTGGGGAAGATTAAAAAGTTCTTTGCATGGGCAACATGGTGAAACCCTGTCTCTACAAAAAATACAAAAATTAGCCGGGTGTGGTGGCATGCACCTGTAGTCCTACCTACCCAGGAGGCTGAGGTGAGAGGATTGCTTGAGCCCAGGAAGTCAAGACTGTGGTGAGCTGAGATCTTGCCACTGTACTGCAGCCTGGGAGACAGAGCAAGACCTTGTCTCAAGAAAAAGAAAAAAAAAAAAAAAGACTAGCCAAGTGCAGTAAGTAGTGAGAAGGGTGAGGGGAAAGAGTAGAACAAGGAGTTCAACTGTAACTCATGGTGAACAATCAATTGAGATAACTCACTACCTTCAGAACAGCCACGAGCTGACTCTTAACCCCTAGAAGAGTGAAGATAAGGAGCCCAACTGTGAATGGAAAGTTAGCCTATCATTCCCAGCGCCAGCTGCCTCTCCTCACATCCTCATAATGGATGCTGACTGTGTGGTGGGACAGAAGGGAGTTTGCAGAGCTTTGCTCATGCCACTCACCCATATTCTTCCCAGCCAGCTTGTTCATCAGGTAGGATTTGCCTGTGCGGTAGAGGCCCACAATTGCCACCACCACCACAGGCTGTGTAATGGCAGACAAGATCTTCAGAGCTTCTGGATTCGCCACCAGTTCCCCATTAGTGTTCTCAATGAGGCACATTGGGCCTGTCATGTGGATCTCTGGAGCCATGTCCAGGGCGTTGTTCTCTTCTCTGCAAGGGAGGAGTTGGAATGAATTAGAATTTCCAGTCTTTTGCATTTAGAGGATAGAGTCACAAAATTCCGCAAGATGGCCAAAAGTTTTGTGTGTGTCAGTGAGAGAGATGAGGGAAAATCTGTATCATTTAAAAAAATTATGGAAATATTATCATCAGATTAAATATTGGTATGACAGCAACTTATCAACAGTCAACTACTCGTGCAACCTTATTGTGGAAAACCTTCCCTTGGATTCTTATTAAAAAATTTACACTAGACAATAAATAGAAGATAAAATAGGACATAGAGAATTTTTTTTACATCTTGGCTATATGTAAGAAATTCAATATTGATTTGTTTATTCATGAATTCTTATGGTGAATAAAGAACCCCATGAGTAAATTTTTCATTGGTTGATGTATGCCCTTAAGACAATTTCCAGAGATTTTTAAATGTGTTCCTTCCTCCATTTTCAACTGGTTATGCTTACTTCCCTGCAATGAAGATCCATAAAGCTTCTCACAGTGCCGTTCTGGAAGTGGAACCAATGTAACATACTTTTGCAAATTTTATAGAACTACATAACCATGTGAAACACATGCCTAGGGACCTTTCCAAGGGCTTTGAAGGGGCACATGCAAGAGAGGGGCCCTGAAACTTAAGCTTCATTAGCGTCACAATAAGGTAGCCTCTAGTGTGGGTATAAATGCAAAACTGCCAATACTGAATGTTCCTAAGAAACACACACATACACACACACACACACACACACACAACGACAACAACAACAAAACAAAACAAAAAAAATCCATGAAATAAGGATTGAAAGACCAGGAGGCACATAAAGAGAGCTACATAGGAAGTTGTTAAAAGAAAATATATTTCCAGCAATGCAGGTTTAGGTTTTCTGTTTTGTTCTGTTTTTCCATTTTGTAGAGTAGGAGAAAGAGAAATGGGAAGAGGAGAAACAGAAGTGGGGAAGAGGAGGACAAAGGGCTCGAAAGATGAGAGAGAGAGAGAGAGAGAGAGAGAGAAAGAGAAAGTGCCAGCAAGGGAGCTGTCAGACAAGGTGATGAATGAGGCTATTGTTTTGCCAAGGAATTCAGGGAAGGCGTTTCCAGAAGGTGGGATCTGAGTTGTCTGAGTGCATAGGAGAGGTTAAAGTAAGCAAACATACGGGCTTTAGTAGTAATGCATTACAGGAAATTCTCCTGTAAATTCTCCAGAGGAAATTCTGCATAGGAAAACTAGGCCACCGCCCTCTCTCTCTCTCTCTCTCTCTCTCTTAAAAAAAAAAAAAAGGAAGGAAAGGAGAGGAAGCTCTTTAGCCTAGATTATTTCTAGAGAAGCAATCTGAAACAAATGCTGTTTTCATGAATCTTCCTCCTCTTTGGTGCTGGGTTTCAGTTTTTCCTTTGTCTATAACCCTGTCAGTGGGCTGCTTACTCTGCATTACCTTTGCTGTTCTTTCCTTCTGGTGAAAAGAACCCATTTGTAGCTCTTTCCATTTCTTAGCTGCATAGGAGCAGGATTCAGCAAGCTCCATCACTGACAATGGAGATGTAATTATGTCCCTAGTCAACACAGACAATGTCAACAAAGAGAAAGACTATCCTAGCGCATTTCAAACTCTCAGTTTAGTTCCTGTCTGCTGTAGTGGCACTTAGAGCCATGCTGCTTCTGATAACACCAGGATTTCATCTGACCTGTGTCCCACGTCAGGCTCAGCTGCAGCCTAATTTGGTCCTGGTCATTTTTAAGAAAACGAACTGACTTTTATAAATTCCTTCCCATCCTTGCCACAACGTTATAGGCTCCACGTCCCTGAGCTGAGGTACTTCAGAGCTGGAGAGGAAGCAATAGGAGTTCTTACCTGTGCTTTTCTCTTCAGTCCAGGTAAAGGTGTTTCTGTCACTTCTCTTTTCTTTCACTGGATCGCTGGACTTTTATTTTACCCCTCCAGTGTTACGTAGCTTTCTGGATTTTCCTCAGTGATCAAATAGTTAGAAGTTAAGCAACAATTTTAATGGCTTCAGAGCCTAGTGAAACTGAAAGTACTTTTTTCAAGGCACTGACTCAATAACCATAAATGCAATTTCTGGATTCTGCTAGTAGGAGGGTTTAAAGTGAAGTTTCAAGGTTTTTTGTTGGAAGAGATCTTAGAGACCATTTATTGTTTTAAGAACATGTCCATTAGGTATTGAAAAAAATGAAATGTATCTCAAGATTAGAGATCTGGTTGAGAGTTGTAGAATGAGAAGGCACCGCATTAATTTTTAGATATAATTTCCTATAACAAGAGACAATTCACAATGGAGCTGCCTATTCTTTTAGAGGTGCAATAAGTGAGGAAAGGGCATGTTTTACACTCTCATGAACACCTAGTCCCTGGCACTGTATGCCCAGCACACAGTCAGGAGGGGGCTCCATGCATTGTACTCATGTTCCAGGCTCAGTGCTGACTGGTTTACATGAATTACACTACTTAAATCTCATAACAAGTATTTCCCTATGATTTTGTAGAAACCAAGGCACAGAAAGACTTTATCAGTTGTCTAAGTTCATAGCACTATAACTAATCTGAACCCAGGGAGTCTTGATCGTAAACCCTCTTCTTGAACCACCTTACTATGCTGCCTTTGTTTGGTGAGTGAATAATTGTAAAAATATTTAATTTATAGATGACTTTCCTCTTTTTATTTAGTATACTATAATTTGATTTTTCATAAATTGTTTTCTAAGAGTTTCATATGTTATGTGTCTCTTTCATTCATGACTACTTACATGCAGAATAGGTGGTATAAACTCTATTTTACAGTAAAAACAAGAAATTGCAAAAAACCCTTGTAAGCATTTATTTGTTAGTTACACAACATTAAAAAGTATACATTAGGCATATATGAAATGAGATTTATTGTTCTCTCTTGATCATATTTTATAAAATAATTTTATTCAAACTTTTCCTATTCTTCCTGAACACTTTAGCTTCATCATTATTAAAACTACTTTAAAGTATTTTTTTTTTTTTTTGAGATAGAGTCTCACTCTGTCCCCCAGGCTGGAGGCTGGAGTGCAGTGTTGCAATCTTGGCTCAGTGCAGCCTCCACCTCCCAGGTTCCAGTGATTCTCCTGCCTCAGCCTCCCACGTAGCTGGGATTACAGGCACATGCCACCATGCCTGGCTGGTTTTTGTGTTTTTTGATAGAAATGGGTTTTACCATGTTGGCCAGGCTGGTCTCACACTCCTGACCTCAAGTGATCCACCCACCTCAGCTTCCCAAAGTGCTAGGATTACAGGCATGAGCCACCATGCCCCGCCAAAGTCTTTTAACTTATTTTTTTCAGAGTATATCATTGTTACTTTTGTCATAATCATTTGAACCATTTAAAATCCTGCAAATTGTCGTAAAAACATATATCAAACAACAAAACATCTATTCAAGAAGACTCCTACAACTATGGTAACAATAGCAAGCGTCCATGGTACTTGTTTTACAGCCTGCTTCTTCCCCACCTTCAATGCAGATTGTCAAACATTCCACTACAGGTGGATATGACCAAGAAGCCTGTGTTCCCTCTTCTTTCATGTTCCTGTCAGGGATAAAATATCCCATTAGGAGGGGCAGTCTATGAGCATTTCTCATTCCCTCCAACACCAAGTTGTAGAAACTAAATTCCTGGTGAGCGTGACCAGATGTCAAGGGCTTTCAACCTCCCCCACCCCAGTCATAGAGTAAAAGGTCTAACCCAGGCTTCTCAGCCTGAGAACACCTCCTGATCCCTTCACTGTGGTTCACTTGTAGGGTGGAGTTTCCATGCTTGGAGAGACAAGCAAAGAAGACCAGAGGCTCCCATCCCTGTCCAGTAGAAGGGGCCATGGCTCAGAGGTTTTGCCCAGGAAAAGAGGCCATTCATAAAATCAAAGGGCTTGGAAGCTATTCCCCAAAATACCGACTTTGGTTGAAACAACATGTGGAAAAATTCAAGCATAGATACTTGAGGAAAGGTTATTGCTAGCTGATCTACTCTATGAGCAATACTAAAAGATTTTCAAGCAGAAAGCAAGTTACCTTTTCAAATGGTAATACAAATCCACCTGGACAAACAGTAAGGGAATTATGTAATTACAAAAGACAGTATAAATGTATATTTTTTCCTTTCTCCTTATAACTTATTTTTAAAAAATAAGTACTTTATTGTATAAAAGAGTATGTATATAAGTGTATTTCAAGGCCTATAACATATAGAAATGTATTATACTTAACAAGAGTGACACAAAGAGAAAAGGTGGGAGCAAAGGTATATTGGAATAAAGAAACAATAGCAGATGTTAATTTGAACCTCTAGAAATAAGGAGAACTTGTAAGTAAGAAAATAAAAATGTAAAACTCTATAAATTTATACCTTTTCCTTCTGCTTCCTTAAAAGACATAAAATACTGTGATTTAATAATCATAACAGTGTATTATTGAATTTGTAACATATATAGATTTAATATATGTAATAATAATAGTACCAAAAGAGGGAAGAGCCAATAATTATAGAGTTATTAGTATAATAATTCAGGATCTCACAGGAATTAATTTAGCATAAATTTCAAGCATCCTTTGGTAAGTTATATATATCATAATGCCTAGAACAATTACTAAAAAATAATAGGTCTCAAATCAATAACCTAGTCTTTTACCTTCAGACACTGGTTAAAAAAAACCAAAAAACTAAATCTGAAGCAAGCAGAAAGAAGAAAATGAAAAGTTTTGGAAATTAACAGAGTAGAAACCAATGAAATAGAGAATAGAATAAAAAAGTAGAGAAAGTCGATAAAACCAAAAGCTGTTTTTAGAAAAGATCAACAAAATTGACAAAGCTTTTAGAAAAGATCAACAAAATTGACAAAGTTAGACTGGCCAAAATGAAACAAAACAAAATGAAACAATCCAGAAAAACAACAGAATACTTAAAAAACTAAAACTGAGAATGAAACACGAGGCATCACTACTGATCTTACAGAAATAAAGAAGATTATAAGGTAATACTATGAACAACAGTATGTCCACAAATTAAATTATGCAAAATAGGCAAATTCCTAGAAAGACACAAACTACCAAAGCTATCTCAAGAAGAAATAGTTCATCTGAGTAAAAGTAACAAGTAAAGAGATTGAATTACGTATTCGTCCATTTTCGTGCTGCTATGGTAAAATACCTGAGACTGGGTAATTTGTAAAGAAAAGAGGTTTAATTGACTCAGAGTTCCACATGGCTGGGGAGGCCTCAGGAAACTTACAATCATGGCATAAGGCAGGAGAGAGAATGAGAACAGAGCAAATGGGGAAGTCCCTTATGAAACCATTAGATCTTATGAGAACTCACTCACTATCATGAGAACAGTGTGGAAGAAACCACCCTGTGATTCAATTATCTCCACCTGGTCCTGCCCTTGACACATGGGGATTATTACAATTTAAGGTGAGATTTGGTTGGGGACACAGAGCTAAACCATATCAATTATTAATCATAAAACTACCACAAGAAAATTACAGCCCCAAATGACTTCACTGGCTACTTCTACTAAACAGCTAAAGAAGAATTTATACAAGTTTCTTACAAACTTGACCAAAAATAGAAGAGTACAATTTCCCATTCAGTTTGAGGCAATATTACAATGCTATGAAACCAAAAGACATCACAATTAAAGTGTAGATCACTATGTTTTATGAAAAAGGATGCAAAAATCCTCAATAAAATACTAGCAAACCAAATCCCAGAAATATATACCAAGACTTATATGAAGTGGGATTTATCCCATGAAAGCGAGTATGGTTTAACATGTGAAAATCAGTTAGTATAAAACACCATGTCAACAGAATGAAAGACAAAAACCATATAATCATCTCAATATACCCAGGAAAAGCATTTGATAAAATTTGATACCCCTTCCTGATAAACACAGTCAACACACTGAGAACAAAAGGGAGCATTCTCAGCTTTATAATGTCTTACGAAGTTTTATTTTGATATAATTTTAGACTTGAGAAAAGCAGCAAAATAGTACAAAGTTTCTGTACAATTTTTTCCTCAGTTCCCCAAATGTTATTATTTTAAATTTATTTTCTTTCTTTCTGAACTATTCAAGAGTTAGTGACAGATATAATGGCTCTTTATACCTAAAAAATTCATTGTGTGTTTCTTAAAAAAGAGAAATTATTTTACAGAGCCACAGTATATTTGTGTAAAGTCCTTCTTAGGCCATACACTTTTTTTTCTAGTTTACTATTTAAATTTTTTTTATATTTCAGCTCTTATTTGAAGTTCAGGGGTACATGTGCAGGATGTGCAGGTTTGTTACACAGGTAAATGTGTGCCATGGTCGTTTCCTGCACAGATCATCCCATCACATAGGTACTGAGCCCAGCATACCTTAGCTACTCTTCCTAATGCTGTCCCTTCCCAAAACCCCCCCAACAGGTCCCAGTGTGTATATTCCCCACCATGTGTCCATGTGTTCTCATTATTTGGCTCCCACTTATAAGTGAGAACATATGGTGTTTGGCTTTTTGTTTCTGCGTTAGTTTGCTGAGGATAATGGCTTCCAACTTCCATCTCCATCCATGCCCCTGCAAAGGACATGATCTCGTTCCTTTTCATGGCTGCATAGTTAACAGCTGGAATTCTGTGTCTCCTTCTGGAAGGGAAAACAATATGTAACAGACTCTTTAGACCTGTTCTTGCAAGTGTAACATGGATATGTGCCTTTAAGAAGCAAATATTAATAGTTAATATCGGATTTTCTCTGCCTATCTACTGGGAAATGATAGACGGTTGATTCAGGACTGGTGGAATCCTTTGGTGTCATTCTTGAAGCTTTTTAAGGTGAGGGATTGCAGCACTCTGTGTTGGGACTACTTACTTGTGCATTTGTCGCTGAGATAATAAACATTATTCACAAATTTTAAAATGTTCAAACTATTAAGAGATCTTAGTTAGTATATCTCAGAACCAAAAGTCTGCATGTGGTATTTAGTTAGTAAATAATGTTTACAAGGACAAATTTATTTACAAGGCATGATTTTCCAACTGAATGAATATAGAAGAACTCTCAAAATATGTTAAAGACTCCACGGAGCATATGAAGGCTTGAGTTTTTTTAATTCAATGTAAATCAAATAAAAGCACTTATCAAAGTCTTGAAGAATATTTGTTATCATTTTGAATGAATAGTGGCAATTATTGTATTTTAACTGAGGCTTGCTCTACATGAGGTTATGATTGAAACTGACAT